GGAGGGGGAAAGGTAAGAGGAAGGGGAAGGAGGAGGGAAAGGGGAGAGGAAAGGAAAGGGGAGGGAAATGGGGAGGGGAGAGGAGGGAGGGGAAGGGGAAGGGAAGGGGAAGGAGAGGGAAGAATGTACACCGATGAGAACCTTCTTGCTTTGCTGGTGAGGACAAATGGCCCAGCCACTATGGAAGATCATGTATTCCAAAACTAAACAATGAACTATCATATGACCCAGGAATTTTACATCTGGGTACTTACCCAAAAATACGTGACAGCAGGCCTTGAGCATCTACTGCCATGCCTATGTTCTGAGCAGCATTATTCACAGTGGCTGAGAGGTAGAGGCTTATAGAAAGCTTACAGTACTCACTGTTAAGTTGACAACAGTTTTGCAGATAATCCACACAAATGCTCTCCAGGCCGTGGCTAGCTGTCCTAGACGTGGTACTGGCAACGTCAGATATGCAATCTATAAAACAAAGGAAGGTGCATGTGTGCTGATCTTCACGTCTGAATTAAACAGGAAAGCAAATGACCTCACAACAGGAAGGAATATGGGAGCAAGGGCCACGCTCAGGACCACTCCTGGGATTTGTGCCTTGCTCCCAAAGGCCCAGACAGCCCCTCCGATGAGTGCAACATGGACACGAGGGCCACATGCAGGTTGTGTTTATTTCTCAAACTGGAGCCTAACTAGTTCTCCACTTCTCGGCGCTCACTGCAGGGGATTCCCCCGCCAAGTGCTCCCTGTCTTCCTCACCAGTGCTAACTGAACAACCCTCCATCCCTAAAGGAAGAGCTCCCAGCGATGCCACTCTGCTGTCCACTGGAAACATGAGCATCCCCTTTACCAAAGGACCTACAATGAGTGGGGCCTGGGGTCCTCCTCCAGGCCTGGGCAGAGTTTTGACTCTCGGCCTCATGGGTGGGCTACAGCTCTGGCACCTGAGGCAGGCCGAGGAGACTGAGGCAGCCTGTGGACTTGTGCAGGGACAGAGGTTTCCCCAGCAGTGGCTGGGACCTGGCCTCTGGCACTCTGACTTCCAGAATAAAATGCAGCACCCCACCCATGACTTCAGTTTTTAAACCAAAATTAGTAGCGTTATCTGTACGACAAGTCTCGTCCATGTGCCCAGAGCCTCTTGGTGCCTTTATAGGCAAACTGACCAGCCCCAAAGGTCTTCCCTCTGTATTTACCATTCAGAAATGCCACTCCAGGGTCCTCACTAGTAATGCGGCCACTCTGGTGGTCCAGGGCAGTAACTTTGCTGTTCTGCTGATAACTCGGTAGTGGTATTTCTCTCTGGCCATTGGGTGTCATTCCAAAATTCATGTTCGCGGCCACTCCATCAGGATTATTATTGAAAAGAGGGACTTGCTGGGTGTCTAGGGTCCCACTCTTGCCTCTGATGTTCACATGGTCCGATGAAAGCATTCCCGTCGGCTTTCTGGAGGTTAAGGCTTTGGGTGTTTGTGCAGAATCAAGAGAACCAGGAGCTGCTTGGCTCGGAAAGAACACACTCTCTTTCCCAGTGCCCTGAACATTCAGCCAGGATGGGGAGCCCTTCTGGTGAGAGGCTGGTATGGAATTAGAGGCAGGATGGCTTTGACTGTTATAAAAGAGGCCATCCGGAAGGCCATTCTCTGAGAACCGCTGGCTCGCTGCTAGTTGACCAGCAGCCTTAGATGAGACTGAGGACGGCTGTGCAAGGAGATCCCGACTCTCCAGAAAGGCCAACTTTTGGGTGAGTTCGTTGACAGCCTTGTCCCCCAGGGAAGCCCTGCTGCTGGTGCCAACCGGACTGGAAGTGCCCGACTTGTGAGCGGGGGTGGAAGGAAAGAACTCCTTGGTGTCCTGAGGGACCCGGTCTCTGCTCTTGCTTCTCCCTCTGCCTACTCCACCTCTACGGTTTCCAGCATCTAGAAAGAGAAAACAAAATAAGCACGGAGCCAGGCTTGATGGGGCCGGACTCCCGCCCCCATTTCTCCTCCTTAGCTTCCAGCCTTGCCATCCCAATGCTATCAAGTGACTCATCCAAGTCAGGTGAGTGGAAACCTTGAGGCAGGGCTGTCAGCATGAAGCAGAAGAAGCAGGAATCTTCAGTGCAGTCTGCACAGCAGGGGCCAGCATTCTGGGACCTGCGCTAAGCAGAGTGGCTTGCTGCTCTCCTGCTTCTCTCCTGGGATTCAGGGGGACCCCCTCAGCCGCAACCTGCAGTCCACTGCTCCTCGTCCTTAGTCAACTTCCACTGCTATGGTGAGTGAGGAGATGGAGGAAGGCCAACCAGGAAGACCTCTCCCAGAATTCCTCCGGCTCTGTCTCGATTGTAACACCCTGCGCTTAGCTTCCCTAGATGGCTTCATGCGATTCCCCAAGTCCCAAGCTTAAGACTCAAAGTCAAAATGAACAAAGCAGCGGCCTTTCTAGAACCCAAATGACTCACACTTTCCCACAAGCAGGAAGGAAGGGGTGAGTACGTGTGTGTGTGTGTGTGTGGAGTGTGCGGAGTGTGTGTGTGTGTGTGTGCGCGCGCACGCATGCGCGTGTCTGTGATATGTGCACATGTGTGGTTATTGGAGATGGAGTTCTTTTCCACCCAAATCTTGCGGGCAGCGGTAAGATAGTAAAAGCAGACATCTTGCTGTCAACAAAATGGTTGACTCACTGATGAAGTAGAAATGATAATGCAAGCACTGGGGATATAGCTCAGTGGCATAAGCGCCTGCCTGGCAAGTGCAGGGTCCTGAGTTTGATCCCCAGTACAGCGAGAGAGAGCGAGAACGAGAGAGAATAGTACAGATTCTCTGGTAAGTGGTGAATCTCCATTGTGAAACTGCACCAAGAGTGGCCCCACCGGAGGCCCCTGCGCAGAGCCCTGCGGTGTGGGAGGAGTGCGGTGTGGTTTCTGAACCGGCTTGCTCCGCTCCTCTCTAGGAGCCGGGAAACAGCTCTGCTCCCCTTCAACTCTCCCTTTGTTCTTCTAAGGACAATGCCATAAAGCTTGCTTAAAATTTCTGAGTCTCGGGGGCCTGCCCCTTAGCTCAGTTCTTTAAGTGGCTGCTTCAACAAAGCAGTCAGGCTCAGGTTGCTGTGGTTTGATCCCCACAACTCAAGCCAGCCAAACCTGCCCTGAAGGCATTCGGAGAAAAAAAAAAAAAAAAAAAAAAAAAATTCTGAGTCTCCCTTTCTTATCCCATATGAGGCTGATCAATAACATATCTGTATTTCTGAATGGTTTTACAGTGAGAAACAGTAATATTTTGGTTAAAATCCCTCAGAAGCCATAAGCCATTTGACAAATACAAGGGCAGTGTAATTGATCATCATGCTTTGTTTTGGTTTGGTTTCTGAGATAGGGGCCTCAGCATGGAGCCCACAATGGTCCCAGATGCCTGAGCTCCAGGGATCCTCCCCGCTCAGCCTCCCAGGGAGCTGGGACTAGAGGCCTGCGCCCCACGAGTAGCGTGTTCGTTACCTATTATAACACCTTAGAACCATGTGATCTGTTTCATAAAATCTCCTATTCCACATCCATTTCATAAAGACATTAAAAAACCTGCAATTAAAGTCATTACATATAAGAAAATATTTAATAATGGATTCACTTCACACCTATTACTACACCATTATAAAAAAAAATCAGAAAATGACCAGGGAGAAGAGGATGTGGAGGAATTTGAACCAAGTTCAGTAATGTAGAAGGATACAAAATCAATACCCCAAATCAACAATGTTCCTACATTCTAATAATGGACTGAGAATACCCACAGAGGGCCAGGAATGTAGCTCAGCAGCACAGTGCAGTGCCTGCCTTGCAAGTGTGAGGTCCTGACCCTTCTCCATGGTTGGTGGGAATGCAAACTAGAACAATCACTACGGGAATCAGTACAGAGATTACTCATGAAAGAGGACTGCCAGAACTGCTTCAGAAAGTGGCAGAAACTAGGGAATAATTGTGTTTGAAAGGGAGGGGAAATGGGGCTGGGGAGATAGCTCAGCGGCATAAGCACCTGACCGGCAAGTGCAAGGTCCCAAATTCGATCCCATAAATAAATAAATAACCAACCAACCAACCCTGGGCATTCTGTGCCAGCCCCCAAACCAGGCATGGTGGCGCACCGGGGAGGCAGAGACAGGAGCATCACTGTGAGTCTGAACTACATAGCGAGACCCTGAACCAAACAAACAAGCGAGAAAAGTCCACATAGCTCAAAAGGCAGAACCACTCACTTTTGGGCCCGGGAGGGTTCTTCCGCATGTGCTTGCTGTTGCAGATGTCCTGGATGTTCTGGACCACTTCCTGGCTCAGCCCGTGCTCTCTCATGATAGCCAGGACCTTTCTGTCCAGCAGGTTGTGGGATCGGAGGCAGTTGAGGTAGCTGCAGTTCCCCCGCGTGAAGTGTTCGCAGATGTGGAGTCTGTTACACGGCACCTGCTGGCTACAGATCTGTTTTCGACCCTCTCCTTTATAACTTTTGCATATCTACAGAGGAGAGAAATAATGGCAGAGAAAGAGTACCTTCTCGTATCTACCACACACCCATCAAAGACAGTTTCAGCACACAAAAAAATTCTACAGCAAACACATATACAAAGGGGAAAAAAAAACATATTCCACATCTTTGATAAAATATGCTCAACTGATGATTTATTTGGGGGCAGAAGAGGTGTACACAATAAATAAAAGATAGTAATGAACTTAATCCTCAGGAGAATATTGATCGGACGGCCATGACACACAGGATGCCACGAGAGCTCTATATTATAAGGGCAACCAAAAAGGAAGGCCTGCTCTTGGATATCAACTTAGTTTGCAATTAGTGGTGTCTTCTGGGCAGCTGTTTGGGAAGTTGGAATTTGGTCTCTGCTGAGCAGAATGTGAAGCGTCTCAAATGACCTCCAATTTTTATCTAGCTAGATGAATCTACCTGTCTAGCTTTACAGAGATATAGTTCTTTCTGAAAGGTCGAATACTGCCACTGAGGCCAGACTGTAGGATGCCCGACCAACAGACGCCTTTTTAAAATCTGAGGTCCTTGCAGCAGCTGCGTGACCAAGGGGCTTACTCTCACTTTCTGTTTCCTTTGCTCTAACAAGAGGAAAACATTTGGCTGGTTCCCCTCAGTCCCATGATTAAGCAGACCAATGAAATGTGTAACTGTGTTGCGCAAGACAAAAGGTGTGGTGTAAATCTTGGGGCCATGGAAAAAGAAACCAATATGATTAGCAAAAAGCGGAGCTTCAGGCATTTTAAAGATAAAAACATGTGTAATAAGCTATCCTCAAAGGCTGTCTGCAGACCAGATCAGCATGGGTCCCGTGATTTGTCTATGTGGTAGAGACGAACCCAAACACTAGAATGATGACTTAGTTACACATGACAGCTTCTGAAGCCAGGTTCAAATAAATAAAACTGCTGTGGAGTCCAGACTCTAGACCGCCGGTTCTCAAAGTGTGGTCCTGAGACCGAGTACTGTCAGCACCACCGGGTCATTTGCGAGAGTCCAGAAGCAGCAGCAGTGGGACCCCAAATCTGCGCCTTAACAACCCTCCAGCTTATTTTGATGCGCAAGCTGCAGAACCGTTGTCCTGGAGAATAATTCACAACTTCACAAATGACACTTTAGGGGTTGGCAAGATAGCTCAGCCATCTGAAGTGCCTGCTTAGGCAAGCTTAGGCAACCGCAGGGACGCTGTTCAACCCCCGATACCACATGGCACACCAGGGCAGGCTAAGCCAGCCAGAAAAAAAAAAGGTGCTTTAGTTAACACACCCACTACGATGCTAATGTTGAAGCAAGATGGCTTCTGCCTCGATTCACCTAAGACAAATGAAGTCATTTCTTCCTTCAGTAAGCACATTTTATTATAATTTATTTATTTATTTGGTAGAACCGGGGATTGAACTCAGATCCTTACGTTTGCCAGTCAAGCGCTTATCCTACTGAGCCATCTCGCCAGCCCCAGTAAGCACATTTTAGTTTTCCGGCTTCACATACAAATTTGTCTGCTGTTATGTTCTCATAGGTCAGTGATGGCGAACCTTCTAGCGCTTCCAATGATACAAACAGCCTGCTGTGACACGCATGTCACAGGTTTATCACCACCGTCACAAGTCAAAGCTGAATGGAAAGATGTGACTATCTCAAGAGTTTTTTGTTTTGGTTGGTTTGGTTTGGTTTGGTTTGGTTTTGGTTTGAGTAGGGAGTACATCTTCTTCACTGCTGCCTTTAGAATTTAACCTGGCACTTCAGGCTTGTAGTCATTCTGGAGTCTTAATGGAAAAAATGCAAGACAACAAATACAGCGGTGCAGGGGGCTCAATGCCGGCCGAGGTCACGGGTAACCAGAGAGTTGGAAGACTGAGAACATCCCCCTGTGGCCCTCTCAGCTCTCTGCCCATCCATCCCCTAGTCACAGCTGTTTCTCTACACTCCCATCTGCACATAACTTTGCTCCTCTCTCCCCTACCACCTCCACTGACAAAAGTCCCAACCGCCCAAACAGCAGTGCTCGTGGGCAAGAATAATTCCTCCCTTTTCGAGGAACCAAGTCTTCTTGCGCTACCTGCACTCTGGCTGACCCTCCCGCTAAAGCATCAGAAGGGCAGTCTGCCCAGTCGCCCAAGGGAGCTACTGCTCTGAAGACTTCTTGCTCAGCATTTCCAAATGGAGACTGGCACTGAGGGCGCTAACAACAGCCCTCAGCTCCTCCCAGCCCTAGTTCAGGAAACAGCTGGTCTCCCAGCCGGGGAGCTTGCCGCTGACCAGTGGTAAATGGGAATTCTGTTACTCACTAAAAAGAAGTTTCCAGGGAGAAGCTGCCACCCAACCCATTATACATGGGTGGGGACCTCGGGTGGCATGGCTCCCTCTTTGTACTCTGATAAGGGCTAAGTGAAACCATTTTCCTTCAAAGTGCTTCCAGCAGTGGGCTCTATAGAATCCCTCAGAAAACACCACCTCCCCTTAGTCCCTACTGCCGACCTCCTGTGCAGAGAAGGGAAGAGCGCCCAGTCCCAGACACTCCGCTAACTGGGTGAGTGTGAGTCCCTGCCCGCAGAACCCTTCTTCAGTGCTTCTGAAGCAATCTGAAGCACTCATGCCCAGTCAGTCAGTGACCGTTTCGAGGCTCCCGGTGACACCAAGTGAAAGCTGGGCCAGTCACCACTCAAGTGTTACAGCAAGTCTTTCCTGAGTTGTCATTCTCTCCCAGAAAGGGAAAAGGGCAGGATGCTGCTGTCTATTAAAGAGACCTTCCCTGAATGTGGTTGGTGTTGAGGCATCACCCACATGCTAGAGGCCATGGGGACTGGACTGGCACTGTCACCCCAAAAGGAGATTTCTAAACCTGGGTTTCCTGGAGAACTACAGAGAAGAATATATAGACTTAAGAGAGGAAGTATATATTGAATCCTGGGCTGGGGAGGTAGCTCAGCAGATTAAGTGCTTGCCTGCAAGCACAAGGTCCCGAGTTCAATCCCTGGTACCACCAAAAAGAAAAAGAAAAAGAAAAACGGCAAAAACATATATTGAATCCCTCAGAACATCTTTTTCTTTTGGGGAGGAAGTTCGAGACAGGGTCTCCTATATTGTTTGGACTGGCCTAACTATGTAGCCCAGGCCCGCCTGGAACTTTGCAGCAATCCTCCTGCCTCAGCCTCCCAAGCACTGGGATTACAGGTGTGCACCACTACACCAAGCCCCTCAAAAATTCTTATAGAGTACCTTGCATGTATCTCTCTTCTGAAGTGGCCAACTCAAAATCACCTTTATGTCATAAGTTTTTGGGTTTTTTTAAACTGAAGGACATTTACTTATTTATTTGAGACAGGGTCTCACTGTGTGGTTCAGGCTGGCCTTGAACTCATAATGGCCTCAAATGAGAGTCGATATTCCTCCCTTAGCCTCCCAAGTGCTAGGATTACAGGTGTTTGATTACAGGTGTTTGTCACTGCAAACACCTGTAATCTGGTGTCATCAGGTCTTTCAAATAGTCAAGGAAAAACAAAAACATTGAGTTCAAAACTAAAAAGTGTATAACACTCAAGAAGTCACCAGGGCTATCTTGTCATGTGTAAAAAGGCATCTGAGTCCCAGCCTCACTCACAAGACTCCACCCTTCCAGGCACTCCATCCGGGAGGCATCCCTGGGCCTTTCTTTTAGTACAAGGCTAGTATCTCCACATTCAAGGGTTTTTCTCAGGCTGTATTTATGCTTTAAACAGCATCTTCTGATTATAAGTCTCTATGCCTACCTAGATAGGACTCAGTTATTCTTCAGGGTTGTCATTTTTCTTCTAATAATAGAAGTTCTCAAGTTTTAGGTAGAATGGTCACCCAGCTGGAAACTACATTTCCCAGCCTTCCTTTTGGCTGAGCATGAGCACGTGATACGTTATAACCAATGAAATGTGAGCAGATGTGCTAGCTGCTCTGTGGGGGAGTTTTGGTTTTGTTTTGTTGGGGTTTTTTTGTTTGTTTGTTTGGGTTTTTTTTGGTTTTTTTGGTTTGTTTGTTTGTTTGTTTGTTTGTTTCCCCCGCTGGCTCCTGGGGGAGGCCCAAAGCCAGGTGAGAATTTTATTTTATTTTTCATTTTTGGTCAGATGAGAATTTTAAAGAAACTGTTCACCCTCAAACTCCAGAGTATTTAAAGATAAAACACTCTGTGCCTTAGACAGCTAAACACCAACAGGCTGTTAAAATGGTGGCTAAGCAAAGAGACGTTCTCAGACCTTGTTGTAAATGATGGCTCTTGGGGTCCACTGACTCTTGGAATTTTATTTTATTTATTTATTTTTTTATAGCAATACAAATTTTATTTCTAAAGCTAAGAGTTATCACGTATTTTTCCAGTTATTAGCAGTAGAACAGTAGGGTGTGTGCTTAGCGGGGAGACTTTTTTTAAAAAGAAAGGTCGTCTTCCCCCTGCTTCCTCTCTACACTCCAATCAGCTAGAAAATGGTGACAAATGAGATCATCTGTGTATCTGGAGATGGAAGCCACATTTGGAAGATGACAGACCTGACCTGAGTGCCTGGATACTCCAGCAACCTGCTCACCCCAGCTCTCCCCAGGCTGTCCCCACTAGCCACAGGAGACAAGACCACAACTCGACACATCAGCCTGGCTAGGATGACAGAGTAAATATTCTAGGCTTTGCAGGCCATTTCTGCTGCAACTATCCAGCTTACACTCGTGGTGTAGATGAAATCATAGTACACGCAGTACATAGTACGCAGGTGTGGCTGCGTTCCAATGAACCTTTATCTACAAAAACAGGTGGCAGGCCTGCCCGCTAGACTGCTGACTCCTCCAGCAGCCTATCAAGTGGCGGGAAAGGAAAGTACAGTTTATTGCACTCTGTTGTGGGGGTGGGGTGGGAGACTCTGCTAAGACAGCAGAGCCTGTGGCCTTATCTCCCCTATCACCTGCCAAACTTCAGTGCAAAGGCCGTGTCTTCCAAGAGGCCACCCAGGGGCTCCCTAGCAGCCTAGGGGTAAAAGCGCCCAGATTTAAATTCTTATTCAGCCTCAAGTAGGAGGGAAGTTGCTCGATCCCTTAGGCCACTCCGGCTTCTCCTGCTCCTCCGGCAGCACGCCAGGGACACACACTGACCACGACCCTCTCCCTGCTAAACAAGCGGAGCAATCATGACACTTACCTCAGGCAGGAAGAAGGGGTCGCTTTGGACAAGCAGTACAGCTAGTTGCTCTTGGTTTAGACCAGAGAGTTCGTGATGTTTGAGGACCCGGAAATTGTCTTCTGAGAGAACGTCATGAGAGTACTTGCATAGGTTCCTAGAAGACAATGTGACCCCCGTCACGTTTGCGCTTCACAGAGGAAAACAACGTTGTCCATAAAATATTCGCCCAGGAAAAGTCAGTGCTGTACCCTTGGTCACGCACACAGGCCAGGCCCCTTGAAAGAGTAAACTCTTTGGTTTTGTTTATTTTGTTTTGAGACAACGTCTCCCTATGTAGTTTGGGCTAGCCTTGAATTTATGATGTAGTCCAGACTGGCCTCAAGCTCGTTGCTATCCTCCTGCCTCAGCCTCCTGAGTTCTGGGATTACAGGTGTGCACCACCATGCCTGGCCCCAAGAATACAAATTAGAAAGATACAATTAAGATAGATAGATGTCCATGAGCGCTCCCCTGAGCCAGGCCTAAGATATGCCAAAAATCAATAAATAATTTAAAAGATAAATAAAGCACAGAGAAGGAAAATCCAATCAATACATTTATGAAGCAGATAATCAAGGGAGAGATGTACTTTCTTCACAGGTTATACACATATAAATATACAGTTAATTTTAATTATTGCTATACTTCTTTAAACATTATCTCCCCAAAATCCATTATTATTTGTGTATAGCTTGGAAAGATGAAAAGGGGGTGGAGGACCAGTGAGATAGCTCAGCAGACTAAGTGCCTGCTTAGACGAGCTCAGGGACCAGGGTTCAATCCCTGGCACCACATGCCGCACTGGCCCTGTTCCAGGGTACGCTAAGCCGGCCACTGAGACAGGGCATGGTGATGCACATCTGTAATCCCAGCGCTGGGGAGGCTAAAAACAGGATCATTATGAGTCTCAGTTGTGTAGTGAGATCCTGTACCAAATACATTAAAAAGAAAAGGGGGAAAAAAAGAAACCAAAACCAATCTTCTTGTCTTAGACACAACTCTGCCCATTGAGAAATTAGCAAGATAATTCCCTTCATCCCACATTTTAATTGCACACAATTATTCATTGCCATGTCTGCTCGGAGTTCTAAACCAAGGTACACCTGTATACGTGTGACTATAAAAGAATGGACACAGACTCTGAATTGCACCCCCAAACTACAGAAAAAGATGGAAAACCGTTTCTGTTTTAGCGCTTTCGTGACTTAGGTTAACACCACTCAGCAGAATTTGCTGTGATGATGGGATCCTTCTATGTAATTTGAGCTTTCAGAGAGGGAGAGAAGGGGAAGTAAAAAGAATTAAGGTATGTCAGGTGCACACGTGCCGGCTCCTCACGATAAATGTAACCATCACATACTATAAACGTGGACTGCTAAATTTTTTTTTAATCTGAGTTTTCCAACATGGAAACCACGTATGACAAAGGAATAATTGGTTCATCACGTTGAGGTCTGAGGAGCACCGATTGATTTAGCTTGAGAAACCCTGACACTCTGTTATCAATGTCAACACAGTACAATCACTCTACTTTTTTTTTTTTTTTAATGAGCAGAATATATTTATTGAAAGAAAGAAAGCTCCTGTCCAAGAGAGGGACAGGAGGGGTCATTCTACTCTTTAACTTACGTACCCACATATGATATCGCCTTAGTCCTTGGGTTTAACAGTTACTAATGTCATGGCATATTCATTTGTTCTCGTTGCATAGTCATTGTCAAATTGTCGGGCAGGCTAATAGCCGGGTTTTCACCACATAAACACAGTGGCTGTGCTGATCTTCGTACAATAATCTTTCTCTTTATACTTTGTTTTATTGAGGTGTTTTCCCTCGGGAATATTGCTTCAAAGGACACGATCACACTCTTGGCAGCTTGTGTTTCGTTTTGACCTTACAGCACACACCGGGGGCATGTCTGTTTCCCCACCAGCACAGTAAGACTAAATTCTGGCACCTTTGCTACTTCAATAGGTGTAAGCTTATGCTTTTATTAATTCATGTTTCTACTATTAACAAGAAGGAAATAGCCCCCAAATGTTACCCTGATCTTTTTTAATAGTAGTATATTACTATTTATTCTTTTTTTTTTTTTCCAGAACCGGGGATTGAACTCAGACCCTTGTGCTTGCCAGGGAAGCGCTTATTCCATTGAGCCATCTCCCCGGCCCTACTATTTATTCTTATCCTTTAACTATCTAGCCAGGAGTGAGGATGCATGCTTATAATCCCAGCACTGGGAAGCTGAGGCAGAAGGATCTCCATGAATTCAAGGCCAATGTGAGCTACATAGTGAGTTTAAGGTGAACCTGAACTACATAGCGAGATTCTGTCTCAAAACAAATAAAATAACTATCTAATAGTTTTTTAGGCACTAACCTGCAGACTTATAATTGTTCTTCATGTTTTTTTAAATATTAATTTTTTTAATGTATTTGGTACAGAGTCTCACTAGGCAGTTCCAACTCCTCATGACCCTCCTGTTTTCATTCTCCCCAGCGCTGGGATTATAGGCCGGCTCAGTGCACCCGGGGGCAGTGCCGGCACAGCAGGTGGTGCTGGGGATTGAATCCTGGTCCCTGCGTCTGCCTAAGCAGGCACTCAGTCTGCTGAGCTATCTCACCGGCGCACTTTAATATTAATCTTTGTCAGCCTTGTTTATTACAAACAATTTCATATTTTTTCCTTTTTTGAAGTCAAGAATTGATGAAGTTTGTTACTACTGAATATATAGTCAGGGCCTTACAATTTAGGCACTACTTAATAACATGCAAAATTAATTCATCCTCCACAGCTAGCAAACTATGTCATTTGTCTCCCTTCAAGAGTTATTTTCAACCCTAATTCTTTAAAGCCTCTGAAGTTTACTATGACAAATAATATCAAAGGGGAAACTAAGTGTTTTATATCATTCTCAATAACTATTAAATGATTTATTTTGTTATTCTGGATTATTGTACATTAGCCTTTTATCAAGTTTACAACTATTAAATTTATGCTGTTTATCAAACTATTTAGCTTTATTTATTTATTTATTTTTAAATTTTATTTATTTATTTATATGTGTGTATGTGTGT